ATATATTTTACTGATTTCTTTTATCCAAACAATCAATAATTTATAAAGGCAAATCAGGAAAATTAACAAGGTTGCCCAAACTTTCACACCCCACTGTACATCATTTGGAAAAGGCTATTTGTATGTCTATAAGAAAAATATTTTGTTATATACTCTTTTTTTTCTTCAAAAATTGACAGAACTTAGCTTTTGGCTTGGACAACGTTTTTAATTTCGGTCCCCTTTGTGTAACTCAGTTTAAAAGCCCTGCGCTAGTCCAAGTAAAACATATTAAAACCATGAATCATGTTTTTCAAGGCCTTTGAAAAGAAGACATGACCTTACCGTGGCAATGAGTCCTACTTGGACAAAACTTGATTTCAAACCTGCGTTATGTTTGTTTGATGTAATAGCACTATGAAAACTAAACCCCAGAATGTGATTAAAGCCCAAAAGAGGCAAAGGTGTTGATGAGGCTTCCAAAAAGTTAATTTTACCCAGATCTTAGTGTCATAAGACAGTCCAAGTGTGGTTCGAGAGGACCGATGCCATCTAGCCAAAAGAGAAGAAAGCATCAAATGCAAAGCAGAGGAAATTTTTCTTAAAAAATACAATAAATAAAAAATAGACCCAACACAACAACATATACTCATTCTAAGTATCGTCACTTAGATTGGTGGCATCAAAATTGGGTTTTCACTCGGGTCAAATCAGAAACCAACACTAATATCCCTATAAAAACCATAACTTAAGATTTCATAGACATGAGCTGGTTGTTGGTGCACCGTTCCTCAGATTTGAAGTGCTTAGAAATGCATCTTGCACACAATAATAGAGCGTTTCTCATTCCAGGCATAAAGATGCTCCTTAACTTTTATGCTTTATTTAAGCAGCTAAGCCCATGAAACAAACTGACCACATCAAATCTCCACTTTGAATACACACTCAGTACTTTCCTTATCCATTGACCTATTACAGAAGGAAAAGGGGAAAGTTAGCAAGACTGAAATAACAATGACTCAATTTAGTGGTTTGTCTTTGTGTTATGTTACCAGGGTACCCAGTGCTTGATAACTAAGGACAAAATATTAACACAACACTACGAGAATCTTTTTTCTGTTGTAAAAGTTTGAGATCGTCTAAAACCTTTGATTTCCAAAAGCTGGGGTCAGGATCTCGACATGAAACAACAAATATTTTCAGAAGTGTAAAATCTGCTTGGGTTTTATTGTTCAGGATTCATCTTTGCTGAGCATATGAACTTTGACTTTCAACAAGGTTGGATGACTCCCCAAAGACACAACCAGTGTGTGACAGTTTTAGAATCAGCAAATCAAATGCACCAAAAACTATTTTTTTTTGTGACGTGGCAATCAACTACAATACGACTCTGATGCATTTTCTTCTTTTACACCCACCATTGTCTACATTTTCTTTTGTTGCTTGTACAGCGGGTAAAATAAGTATTGAACACGTCACCATTTTTCTCAGTAAATATATTACTAGAGGTGCTAATGACATGAAATTTT